GGGGGGGGGGGGGGAAGGGTAGGTCAGCCTGAGAGAAAAGCACAAGACCCTATCTGAAAAACAAAAGCACAGAGGGGTGGGGATGAGGCTCCAGAGGTGAACTGTCAACCACAGTACCATAGCCAAAAGTTAAAACGAATATAAAGCAAGGCCTTTTAAGGAAAATAGAGTGGTTCAGAGAGGGAGGAGTTGGCTGCTAAGTAAGTCAACCTCTCCTGGCCTCAGTTTCTCCTCCTGCACCTTACAGAAAATCATGTCCACCGCCTCCCTCCTCCTCTTTGTGGACAGGAGAGCTAATGTACCGCAGTGCAGGGAGTGACCATGCTGTGTGTGCAGGTCCAACTGTGGCCGCCTTCCCGGTGATTCTTCCCATCGTCACCTCTCGGTCACCGTGCCTTCCTTGTCTTAGCCTTTGTCCTTTGGTCAAAGCTAAGTGAACAATTTCAGGACTTTAAAACAACCAGCCCATCCCAGGACCACTCTGTCTTTACTGGCTCCCAGGACTGCTGTGCTGCCTCAAGCTTACAGGCCACCTGGGGCGGGGGGGGGGGCGCTGTGGGTGGTTGGGGCTGGGAGAGGGCAGCCTTGTCTGGGGTAGTGGGCCAGCTCAGGCCTGGGCATCCAGGAGCGACTAGGTGTGGCTTACCCTCCTGTTAGCCACTCTGAGAATCCCCTCACCCAGGTATATGAAATCTCCAGGCTTCTTGCTGTAGGCCTGGTTGTGCTTGGTGACCTGCTGCGATGGGGTGTGGCTGGGTGGGGGCGTGGTCAGATTGGGCGTGGTCCCGTGGGGGTGGGGTCATCAGCGTGGGGCCGGGCCTTTTCCTAATGCTCCTGTGTTTCTCTCTGAGCAGTAGGAGACTCGTACTTGGTCAGCTACACCGCCTCACTGGACTCAGGAGCCATTGGTGCTGGGGAGAGCCTGCGTCTCCCTGCATGGCTCACCTTCCAGAGCCTGTCACCGGTATTTACTCCCACTTTCATTTGTCTTGTCGCCGCCCAGGGAGGTCAGGGCAAAGGGCCATCCTTACCTCCCTCCCTGCTTCTTCCCTCTCTCCTTTCTTTCTTCCCTCTTCCTGTCTTTCCTTCCTTCATTCTCTCCCTGCTTCCCTTTCTTCCTTCTCTCACTCCTTTCCTCCCTCCCTCCCTCCTTCCTTCCCTCCATCTCTCCTTTTTTCTTCCTTATTTTTTCTCTTTTCTTTCTTTTTTCCTCTTCCTCGCCTTCCCTTCTCACTCCCTCCCTTCTTCCCTGTCTCTCTCCCTTCTTTCCTTTCTTCCTTCTTCTCTTCCTCCCTTTCCCTCCCTCTCTCTCCCTCTCTGATACCACACTGGAATAAGGGTATGGCCTCTCTGCCCTGTGAGTAGCCTCAGTGACTTGTTACCTTATTTCAGAAGGTAGACTTCACATGTTTTTTCTCTTAGTGCTATGTTGGCTTGAACTCAGGACCTGGGCACTGCCACTTAGCTTTTGAGGCTGATGCTCTGCCACTTGAGCCAAGCTCTACCTCTGATTTTTGGTGATTGCCTGGAGAGCAGAGTCTCATGGGCTTTTCTACCCCAGGCTGGCATTGAATGGTGATGCTCAGATCTCAGCCTTCTGAGTAGCTAGAATGACAAATACGATGAGCCACTAGATAAACTTGTGCAACGCAAAATGGCACAGAATGGGACCATGGATTAATCCCCAGACAGCCATCCCAGAGGTTCTGACACACACGCGGGCATAAATACACCGGAGCAGACGTGATGCCAGGCCAGAAAGCCCAGGGGCTGCTCCACAATCATCCACTCCGTAAAGACGCAGCTTCAAAAAGCCTGTCCCCCTGAACTTTGACTCCTAGGAGTTTGGTGTCTGTGGAGGCTTTCCTTTGGTCACCTGCTGCTGCGGTGGATTTGAGGTGCCCCTGCCTCCTCCCCTCAGCAGCTGGACCAGCACTGGAGGCGGAGAAATCTGTCATAGTACTGGCTTGGGGGTTGGGCAGGTTGCTGAGCTCATGGACTTCAAAACCAGGCTACAAACAGGAAGCCCAGCCTAGAGACCTCCCCCGTGCTGCAGACTCTGAGATCTGTTGGGCACCAACATGATACCATGAGTAGGAAGTTTCACACCTGTCTGGGTGTGAGAAGTCCTAGTCAGCATGCAGCTGCACTTAAGTGCCGTGTAAAATGACGCTCAGGGTCATAATGGTTTGGCGTTTAGACTTAGTCCCATCCACCCATAAGATCTACGCAAACATCTGCAGCTTTGTGCTGATACACCCAGGCATAGGCAAATATTCCAAGAAGCTGAAATCTGAGAGCTTGCTGCTCACACACATTTTGGGTAAAGGATGCTGACTGTGTCCCGCAGTCCTCGTGCTTCCAGTGGTAACTAGAACGAGGAGCCCAGCCCTCCTGCCCGCCACGGCTCTGGCTGCACAGCCTGCGGTCTGTGCACCAGGGGGCTCCCGCTCCAGTGTCCAGACTCCCCAGGTGCAGGACAGTTCTATACCAGGCCCCAGTGAGAAGGCTGACCAGGGACGGAGTCAGGTGCACGCCGGCCGCCTGGCTTCCACCACCGCCCTGTGCTGCCGTCCCTCCCGCTGCTGCATTCCCCAGGAAGAGGGGTGGATGCTGTGTGGTACTGCCACATGACCTAGCATGACACCCCCCCCCCCCGGTGTTTTCCATTCCTGTGCTTCTGGGCAGGACAGTATTGAGGGGGTGGGAACAGTCCCTGGGGCGTTGGGGTTCGAGGATCTGTGCGTCAGCATGAGCATGCACTTGAACCTGGGAGTCCGCACACCTCTGGGAGGCAGATGCCCGGAGTACAGGTGCCTGGCTGGGCCATGCCTGGCACGCGGGGGGAGCACCCAGGCCCCTTGCAGGGTCACGGCATGACTCTTCAGGGAACTTGGCGCTTGTGTCTCACCCACAGGCCTGCCCCCACCCTCCCGCCTTCAAGGGGCCCCCTGACCCCCACACGCTCCGCCTGACCTCAGCCAGCGGCTCGCAACCTCCCCGGCCACGTTGACTTGGTAGGAGCCAGAATGTTATCCCATGGTTGACCCGAGTGTTTCTCCTTTCTTTTTCTAGAACCGAACAGAGCTCCAAGCCCACGTCACCCTAATAGCAGAGGAAGAGATAAGGGTAAGAGAGAACGTGTGCCCTGCTGCCCCACACAGCCTTCCTGTGCCATGTTCCCTTCGGCTTGTGGGGGGTTGGCCACCTACCTTGACCTCACCTACCTTGACCTTGATGCTGGAGGCTCCCTGCAGGGTCTCGGGCCCCTGGGGGTGCTGGGGCTGCCTGGCTAGTTTCCTAGGTGGCCTTCTGTCTGGGCTGGATGGGCTATGTGTAGCCTCCTTCTGTCTGGGCTGGATGTGCTATGCATAGCCTCCTTCTGTCTGGGCTGGATGGGCTATGCGTAGCCTCCTTCTGTCTGGGCTGGATGGGCTATGTGTAGCCTCCTTCTGTCTGGGCTGGATGGGCTATGCGTAGCCTGGACACCGCGGTACTATCTGCACCTCTCTTTGCTCCGTCCCGTCTGCAGCGTTTACCACCAGGTCTGGGCGGCTATTGGTGATGATGTGTTGTCTTCAGATCAGGTGGTCAGGCAGGAGTTATGCTGTGCCCCGTGAGTTCTTTTCCATGTTCTTCAGTGGGATCGTTCACAGCCCACATGCACACATTCACATAACGTTGAGGGTTCACCCACTGTGTGTGTCAGTCAGTGTGCTCCCGAGCGAGAACACAGATACAGGGTTTATGGAGCAGGTTATGATAGCTGTAACTGACTCCAGTGAAGTCAGCAAAGTGGAAAAGACACGAGCAGAGTGTGGAGACCCAAGCTGCCAAGTCCCCTCGCCGGGGAACACTCTGTGCCACGGATTCTCTGGCCCTGAGCCGTGATAGTCTATGGAGAAACTCCTCACAGAAGAGCCAGGGTTCCCACAGGGCCCCTGCCATCTGGGTACCTAACGCCTGGCCTGTACCAGGGCCCCAGACTTGAGGACAGCAGATGTTCAGCTTGTGTGACATCCAAAGAGAACACCCAGCCTGTCCCGGAAGGCTCTGGAAACCTCAGATCCAGGCATCAGTTGTGGCCCCCAGCCTCACTGCAGGCCATCACAGGATAGCTGTGTCTGTGGTCTGTCACCTCTTTTCTTGCCTAACAAGAAGGAGGCAGAGTGTTGTGTCCAGGCTGCGCTCACAGACCCTGCGGTGGACCGCAGGCCTGGCACCCCGTGTGGAACGGACAGGAGCAGCCCGAGGCTGCTTCCAGCAAGTCTGTGGTTGGGACAAGTGTGTGGCTCCCTGAGCTCCAGGGGAAGGACTGACCTGTCTGGTTCGTTCTGTGTCCCGCCCAGTGCCCGACCTTGAGGTGACACTCCCCTGGTGAGCACCCCTCCACGGAGCTGATGGTCATCTGTGGAGGAGGTGGCTGGTCAGCACGTGATTGTAATGAGTGGCGCAGGACTTCGCATGGTGGATATCTGTGCCTCCCCCCTTTGTGCCAGGCCCCCTTGTGTGGATGGCATAGGCCTTTCCCGGGGCTTAGGGGGAAGCAAGGCTCGTCTCACGCAAGCTGCCCCTGCCCAGGTACCCTCGGGCTGGGAACCCATTTGGGGAGCTCTGTCCAATGTGGATGGGAGACTTCATGGTGGACAGGAAATAGGAAGAAAGAGTGCACTTTCTGCCCTGCTCTCCCGGCCGTGATGGACCGAGGGCTCAAAAACCATGAGCCGCATGCGTCTTTGCTCAGTGAAGTTGATCGTGTCAGGTTCTTCTCCCTGATGCAGTGTCACTACTTGCGGCACTGTGAGGATCTCACCCTCAGGTGGCCCCTCGGGCCCCGTGGGCCCAGGATGAGATTTTGAGGAATGGAACTTGAGACAGGGTAGGAATGCAGATGTCCCCCAACCTCACCATTTCCATGTTCCCCTGAATCAAACCAACTACGTTGCCTACTTAGAACCGAATGTGTGACTGGAAATACAGATTGTGTGGACACCGAGGACTGATTGGAGATGGGGAGGGAGGGCCAAGAAGAGAGTGAGCGTTCTCTGTGGGGTGGGCCAGCTCAGTCCCCCTCACCATGACACACATGAGGTTTGCTCACCTCCGAGGAGGAGTTCTGCGTGGAGATGATCTGGTCCCCTTCCCTCATCTCTGGGCAGCTCAGGTCCAGCGCAGTCTGGGAACTGGCCAGGGTCCTGATGGTGTGGGCATTGCAGTCGGGAACCGAGCCGCGTGAATCGTTCCTCATCCACACTCTGCCAGGCTGTGGTAGGAGCTGTGGTCATCTGTGCCTGGGGTCACCCTGAGCACCCCCTGCGGCCAGGGCTCTGCCCTGGGGGACCTCACAGCGGCCCCCCAAAGGCTTGCTGAAGCCTTGCACGCTCTGCTTCTTACATCTTAAGCTCGAGGCACAGAATTTCAACACAGTTATGAAGTCTCTTCCAAGGGGACATTGTCTCTGGTCATGCATTTCCTTCTCACTTTCTCTGTGTTTTGGGGAGTCCGTGGGCAGGATTATAATAAATTGCCCCCGGATATCTGGCCCGCTTCTGTTTCCCATGCCCCCCCCAAACAGAGCTGCCCACGGAAGCAGCGTTCCCACCACGAGAGAGAACCATTGCCAAAGCTCGTTTCTCGTGGGCACGTCTTTGCACGCACTTAGTACATAATTGACGTCAAAACTCCCAACAGCCTTTTCGTATGTCTTTGTAGCTCGGTGTTGGATTCTCGGCCTGTGTGTCACGCATTCCTTGTGAAAGGCGTGTTTGTCTCGCAGTGCTCTCCGTCACGGTGGGGCTGGAGCTCATGGAAGGCCCTGCTGCAGCTGTGTGCGGTGCGGGGCGGGGCGGGGTGTGCGGGGCGGGGCGGCAGGCTGGCAGGGAGGGAAGGGAGCGAGGGTGCTGGGGGGTGAGACACTCCGCCACCCTTCTCTCTCTCTCTTTAAATTCCAAGACAATGAGCCAATTAGACTCTGCCCTGACAGTGATGGGCGGCGGGGGTCTCACCGCACTGATCTGGGGGTGTTCTCAGGCGCAATAGCGTGTAGTCTAGGCAGCTGTGGTGCTATGCTGGGGTCCACCAGCTCCAGTCTCCCATCTTGAGGGGCATTGTTTGCTCCTCCTCCCCAGCACCCTCACACACTGCATCTGATTCCAGTGTGCTTCAGGCCTCTGTCATAGATTTGTGTGTGTGTGTGATAACTTGCACATAAAATCTATTGTTAACATTGAGTGTGTTCACTGTGCTGTGCACCCAGCACCCCTATCTAGTTCCAGAACATTCTCGTCCAGAACACCCCAGGAGGAGGAATGCTCCCATCCTCTCCACCTCAGCCCCTGGCGACCGCTAACCTGCCTGTTGTCTCTGGGCATTTCATGTTTTCGGGGTTGCGTGGGGTCCCCCTGTGCCCGGCTTCTTCCCCTTAGCCCTGTGGTTTCCAGTTCTTCCTTGTTGTAGTGTGTGGCAGAGTTTCCCTCCTTTTTATGGCTGAGTAATATTCCATTGTTTTATCAGGAAGCTTGGTTGCTTTCCATTTCTTGGGTCTACATTGTGCGGTGGGAACATTTTGGGACGGGTTTTTGGTTAAGACACCTGCTTTCAGTCATTACATACAAAGAAATCACTGATTGTTCCATACTGAGAGCTTTCTGGGTGGATGGTGTTTTGATTTGTAACTTCCCGAGGAACCTTAGACACTATTCCATTCCTCCTTCTACAGATGAGGAACCTGCCTCTTAGGGAGGGGAGCCCAGGCCCCCAGGGAGCCGGGCACGGGTGGGAGTTGTCTGAGCTCTGACCAGCCCTCCTGCCGCGCTGCACAGCCTGCCCCGCAGCCTGTCACTTCTTCCTGAGCCCAGTTCCAGTCTCCAGGTGGAAGTCGCAGGAGTCGCAGGGCAGCAGACTTGTCCTTTTCAAATACTCATCGGCCACACTTCTTTCTCCTGACAGCCATTCTCCCAAGCCCTTAGGAGACATGACAAGTTCCTGGTTTGCTCTCAAAAGTCTTTTGGGGCCTAGGCTGCTTCTCTTGTACCTGTAGGCTCTGCCCGTGTCAGCCCCAATGTCATCCTACCCTGCCAGGGGCCACGTACGTCCTGGCTTTGGTTTTCTGAGCGGGGGGGGATAGGGGCACCACCATAGTTACATTTGTGGGATGCTGAGCTCCTTGAAGTATGTCTGCCCCCCTGTCCTTCCAGCCCCGGCTGCAGGCTCGTGAACTCGCTGGGTGTCAGGAAAGCTTATTGCTGTGTTTGAGAATCACTGGGAAAGCTCTGAAGGTCTCTAGTCACAGGACTTAGTTCAGTAGAGAGCTTCAGGCAAGTAATAGCCTAGCAAACTTCCATTTACATGCATGTGAAACAGACACAAGAATTCTGAATTTCAAGTGCTCTCTTAAAGATCAAAAGGGGCCTCAAGTGTGGCCCGAAGGGAAATGTTAATGGTTAGGGATTATTTAAAGGGATTGTATCACTGGCTTTTGGCTAGAGACTAAAGAATTCAAAACTCCTGGGCGGCTAACTCACTCAGTCTGGCTAACTCACTCAGTCTGACGCCAGCTGTCCCCTTCAGCAGAGCCAGCTGACAGTGACAGGATTCCCTCCATCCTTGGGAGGGGCAGGGTCAAAGGTCCTGCGGAAAAGCCCTGGCTGTGCCACAAAGGCCACCAGCCAGCCCACACCACTGGTGTGAACCTTTGGTCCACTTCTTACCACCTGTGTTCTGATCCAGGCCATTTATTTAGCCAATTAATACTCTGGCTTTATAATTTAGAGAATCAGGACTCCTCCTCATTGTATTGTTGTGAGGCTCAAATGGTTTAAGCCATGAAGAGCGCTTGGACCAGCGCCTAGTGCTCACTGTCGGTTTGTGCTCGCTGTGGTAGAGATGATGGTGCTGGGGATGAGGGAGACCGTGACGAGGCTAATGACCACGGCGGAGGACGGTGATCATGACGGGGATGGTGGGGGTGGTTTTGTTGATGATGAAGTTCACAGCAGCGATCGCTAATAACGGTGACCTTCATGGTGTTGTTCACGGTGGTGGTGGTGGAGGAGATGGCGATGTGGTCATGAGGATGTTGGTGATAGTGGTAGTGATGGTGAAGGTGCTGATGAGGTTAATGGTACGATGGTGTTAGTGCTGGTGATGGTGGTGGTGGTGGTGGTGATGCTAATGTCAGTGGTGGAAATGATGGTGGTGGTGCGGTGGTGGTTCTGATGAACTTGACCGTGCTCAGGTGGTGCTGACGATGATGTTGATGACAGTGGTGTGACACGCTGATGAAGAGGGTGCAGATGATGGTGTTGCTAATGGCGACAGTGACGGTGTTGGTGGGAATGTGAGGATGAGGATGGTGCCAGCAGTAGGGACCCTGTGGAGCTGTCTTTCCCAGAGCGCGATGCCTCGAGACCTTATTCTTCTTTGGCCATGGGGAAACTTGAATGGGAAAGGGTTTAGCATGACACTACCGTAGGTGAGGTAGGGGTCAGGGCGGCTTATCCCAAGAACCAAGCTCTGCCTAGACGCAGCTGTCGCTGGCGTTAGGAACTTGGGACTTGGAAGGAAGAGGGCGCAGGGCTCTGCAGAGCCGGTCCGGCCTCCTCCTGCGGCCGTGTTGACGTGTTAAGCCGGATCCTGACCCACCGGGCTGCCATGGCCCCTCCACCCTCCCGGTTCTCTTGGGCATGTGCTTGGCTGATGGAAGGCAAGATTTCCAGTTGGAGATTCAGAGAAGGTGGAGGTAGGAAGGGAAAAAAGAGAGGTGGCCCGACAGCTGTGCTGCTCTCCTGTGTGAAGGAGGGACGGGGGTGGAGGGGTGATGGAGAGGAAGAGGAGAGAAGAGATCGTTTCCTGCTTTCCAAGCACAGCACTCTGCTCACCTGTAATGCTCACCCAGTCTTGGTTTGATGAGGCTGAAGTTAATGGTGATGACGATGATGATTGTGGTGGTGATGGTGTTGGCAGTGATGGTGGTGATGGCGGTGATTGCGGTGATGATGATGAAGTTAATGGTGATGACAATGTTGCTGGTGGTGGTGACGGTGACCATGGTGACAGTGATGGTGATGGTCATAGCAAAAGCTTAAAACGCCAGCCGTGGATGTACTTACAGCTCTGGAGGCTGGAGGTCCAGCCCGTTGGCGGGCCTTGTTCCCCCACAGGACCTAGAGCATCATCCGACCTCCCTGCCCCTGCCCAGCTTTCCGGGCCTCATTTTACTTCTCCTCCTTCACACGGCCATCTTGTCTGTGTATTACAGCGTTTGCGTCTTCCTCTCTTTATGAGGACACAGTCACTGGAACTAAGATCTTCTAACTTGATTGTCGTCAATAAAGACCATATTCTAAATAAGATCACAGTCATAAAGGCTTGGGGTATGTTTTGGGGGACAGTTCAACACACTACAGCCACCCAGGCCATAGATAGGCAGATTGTGGGTGATCAAATCATTGATTTCTCTTACTTCCTCTTTAGAACTCTGTGGCAACAGTGGTTGCCTTTGTGGAGAGAGAACTGTGGAAACAGCACTGACCTCTACCTCCTTTGTTCTCTGTAGAAACAGATTTCATGGTTGTTTGCTTTCTTGTATTTAAAATCACCTCTGGGCACCGTTATCATATGTATCTAGTGTATTGATCGCTTTTTTGTGCAGTAGGTATGCAGTCAGGGCTCTAGGCTCCCAGGGCTCCTTCCAGCTGGAAAGGGAAATCTGTATTTCTTTTTGATGCTAATCAAAATTGAAGACTCCAGAGGTGAGCAGTGGAGCGGGCGTTGGCTCCCAGCGGGAGGCGGCTTGGGCAGAGGTGCGGTGGTATAGGTGACTTTCGGCTTTGATCCTGGCTCCCGTGAACATCCAGACAGAGGCTCCGGCTTGACAGTCTGGAAGGCTGGGCGGGCCTCGTTGGTCTGCCTGCAGGTTTAACCTGGGGCACAGGAAGTAGGAATCCTTAGCAGCCTTGAACATGAAGTGGTTGCTATTGAACTTGTTGACATAGATTGACTTCTCCCAAAGCAGCTGTCGAGACAAAGGAGGATTTCACGTATTCAGTGCTCAGAAAAGAGTTAATTGCAGTCTTGGGTAGGAGTATAGAGCTGAGTCTGCCCAGCCAGATATCAACCCTCTGACCCCACCCCGTCAGTGACCCCGATGAGTGTGTGGAAGAAGCTGGTCTGGGCTACGGCCTGCAGAGCCCCTCTGGCAGAAGTTTGTGCAGCGAGGGCTGCCTGTCCTGCTCTCAGGGTCCTGCAGCGCTCCGCCACTGCAGCTGACTGGTTGTCATGGGACAGCAAGCGAGTGGCTGTCACCTGCTGGCTGATCACTGGGTTGGTGGCCTGCAGTTGGGTGTAAGTCCTTCCTCCAGGGGGCTCTGGGGGGCACGTGTCCTTGCTTTCAGGAGCTCCGGTGCCCCCTGTGAGGGGTGCCACCCACCTGTAGCCGCACATCCCTGCCACAGGCCTCCTCCCCTGCCCGGTGATCCTGGCTGCCCCTCGGGTGGGCACAGACCACACCGCATCTCCTCGTGGCCTCTAGAAACAGAGCCTGCCCAGGCTTTGACAGCCCAGGGCTGCCTTGCACGGGCTCGTTTCTGATGTGGAGTGCCGGCGATTGCTGTCTTCTCTGCTCTGTGCAGATCTTCACACGTCTCTTCCTTCGACACTAGAGGAAAGCCTGGCTCGGAGAGGGCCAGCCAGACACGGACAGTCGCTGGCAGAGCCGGGTCCAAACGGGGATGGGTCTCTGAAGGAGTGTGTCCTGCTGAGGCCCGTGGCCTGCTGCTGCCCCTGGGGGCGGGGATGGACAGGCAGAGTGACCAGTGTGACCTCGGGCCCACTGTTGTCCCTACAGGTTGTGCCCAGCCACGGTCTCCACGCAGCGGGCTTTGTGGCCACCTTCGTCCTGTCCTTCGTGCTGAGCTGGGCTGCGCTTTTTCTCCTGGTGCGCTGCCGCTGTCTACAGGGAAGCGCGCTGGCCAGGCGCCTGGTGAGTCTCCCAGCCTGGTGACCCTGAGGGTTCAGAGACCGCTGCGTTCGTCCGGGTGCCTCCCTACCGCTAGTTCTTTCTCGATGATTCTTCTGTAGATTATATTTATGGTATTTCAGCGGACAGGAACACTGATACCGAGTTATGGAGTGCAGTGTGTGACATTTCAACATATGCAGGCTCTGTCAGTCATGAGCACACCATCACCTCAGACCCTCATCCTTCCTCTCTTGTCAGGAACATTCCAGATCTCTTTCAGCTGCTTGCAGGCTGCAATTGCAGTGACTCAGGGTCACCCCAGGCCCAATCCCAGGAAAGGCCCTCTGTGTCCTCCTCTCTCTCCATGTGTGGAAGAAACTGAGGCCTGAGCAGCTTGCTGGGTGGCGGAGCGCAGGCCGGGGCCGGGCTCCTGGGGCCTGGCTCCGTCTACATGCAGGAGGTCCTGTCCCAGATGAGGGCTGAGGACAGCCACTGTGTGCCTGTCCTGACTCCTGAGGGGGCGCACTGCCATCTTTTTTTTTTTTGGCTGGTCATAGGGCTTGAACTCAGCACCTGGGCGCTGTCCCTCAGTTTATCTGCTCAAGGATAATGCTCTACCACTTTGAGTCACAGCTCCACTTCCAGTTTTCCAGTGGTTTGTTGGGGATAAGAGTCTCACAAACTTTTCTGCCCAGGCTGGCTTTGAACCCTGATCCTCAGATCACAGCCTCCTGAGTAGCTAGAATTACAGGCGTGAGCTACCAGTGCCCGGTGAGCACTGCCATTTCAAAGTGAAGTCAGCCCAGTCTCCTTGGCAGGCACATGTGAGGGGTAGAGAAATGGCCATGCACTCAGACCTAGTGCAGTGTCCCCAGGCTGCCAGCCATCGGGAGAGCCTTGCCTACCCTGCTTCTTTGACAGAGGGTGGGCTTCACTCCCCAGAGGCTGAGGTTTTTCCTGTCAGAGTTATGGGGGAAGAGCAGAGCTTGAGTGATTTCAAGCTTCAAGATCCTGCAGAGGTGCACAGCGCTCAGAACAAAGCACCCATGGGGCAGTACCCTGTAAAACGGGACACAACGCCCAGCTGCAGCGACCAGGGCAGGCCCCAGCCCGGCTCTCTTCTGCTCTGATCCTCAGCTGCTCTGTGTCCAAAGTGGACACTTTTGACACTTTCAAGATGGTACAAGCAAAGAACCCAGACAATAGCCGGCACGAGGGCAGGAATTCCCAGACGTGAGCCGCAGCGATCACCCCTTTCCGTAAAGGAATGATCTTAGGCAGAGTGGATGTCACGTGTGCATTCGGAGTTGGGCTGGGCTGTCTCCAGTGGCTTTCTGTTCATCTCTTTTGTGATGCCATGTTGCTTAGAAGCCAGCCAGATCTGTGATGCTGAGGTCCAGGATGATAGTTATGTTTTTCTCTACCTGAAGGTGGCAGAGTGGACTCTTCTTGAGAGGAAAGGCTTTTCCTCCCTCCTGCTTTGCTTTACCCACGGAGCACCCTGTTCAGGGCCAAGGCATTAGATTCCCTTCTTTGATGACTCAGGGAAGGACGGTGTCTCCAGGGTGTAGTGTTCCCAGCGAAGCCCACGCGGCCCTTCTCTCTGTGCACCTTTGCTGCAGGATAGGCATCTCGAGAACAAGATGGAGTCCTCACCGTTTGCCTTGGCTGATGGTGTGAGCGAGGACCTGTCCCTTAATGACCAGGTGGTGGCCATCCTGACCTCTGAGGATCCTGGGAACATGCTTCAGGCCTTAGAGGAGTAAGTCTTCTAAAGTTGGGTCCAACTTGTATGGGAAACAGTTTGCCCACACATGTGTTTCTCGCTTTAGAGAAGTGCAATTCACCTACCACAAACGCATCTGTTTTGGAGTTCAGGCTGCGGTTACTGTGTCTGGTGATGGCGCCACTAACACAGTTGTTAGAAATGCTGGGGCCCTGTGAAATTTCTTTCAAATGCTTTTCAAGTCAGCCTTTCTTTTAGATCAGTTTTAGGTTTATCAGAAAAATTGGAACAGCAACACACCAAGTCGCCCTATTGTTAATATCTCATAGTTACTATGGTAAGTTGCTGTACAAACTGTTGACTTGTTGCTATTAAGTAAAGGCCTTTTCTTCACATTTCCTGGGTTTTTTTTGTTTTAATTTGATTTTTTTTTCTGTATCCAGATCTGATCCATGGTACAACGTTCTATTTAATTATCATATCCATAGATTGATTGTTAATTTACCATGAAGTCAATTCTCCAGAAATAATCACATCCCCTTGGCCATCTTCTTCTTGGCAAAAATCGTGTTTTATATGTTTTTATTTTTGTCCAGTCCTGGGGCTTGAACATAGGTCCGGGCACTATCCTTGAGCTTCTTTGGCTCAAGGCTAGCACTCTACCACATGAGCCACAGCACCACTTCCAGCTTTTTCTGTTTACATGGTACTGAGGAACTAAACCTAGGGTTTTGTGCATGCTAGGCAAGCACTCTTACCACATTCCCAGCCCCTTTATATGTGTTTTGCCCTATTGTTCTAGCATGGAACCTTACAGACTGTTTCATTGACTGACCTTCAGAGTCTGGGTGGAGAAGGAGGGAGGAAAGGAAGCAAAGCTGGGTGGGGGAAGGAGTCCTTACCTACAGTCCAGGTGCAAGGAGCTCTTGGTTTGGTGGCAGCTCTGTGTAATGGGGTTCTTTTCACCTGTGTCCTCCAGATTGGAGATTGCGACCCTGAACCGAGCAGATGCAGACCTGGAGGCTTGCCGAACCCAAATCAGCAAGGATATCATTGTCCTTCTGCTGAAGACACTGACCAGCAGCGGCCACCTCAGCCCCCAGGCAGAGCGGACCATGGGCGCCGCGTTCAAAAGGCAGTTTCTGCTGCTGGAAAATGAAATTCGGGAGGAGTATGACCGGAAGATGTTGGCCCTGACAGCTGAATGTGACCTGGATGCAAGAAAGAAGACAGAGAGCCAGTATCAGAGGGAGATGGTGGCGATGGAGGAGGTGGAAGAGCTGCTGAAGCGCGTTAGTGAGAGGGTAAGTCAGCTCCAAGGGGTTCGTGTACCTCACCCGCCTCGGGCATACTTTATCCACACGCCCACCTCTGCGTCTGTCCATGCATGCGTCCATCTGTCCATCCATCCATCCCGTCCATCCACCCATTCATCCATTCACCCACCCATCCACCTATCTACCCATCCATCCATTTATCTGTCCATCCATCCATCCATCCATCCATCTACCTGTTCACCCCGAAATCCAATCACCTCCTGCCCACAAATCCATCCATCCATCTAACCATCCATTCATCCATCAGTCTATCCATACATCTATCTGTCTGTCCACACATCCATCTACCTGTCTATCATTTATCCATCCCCTGACCTACTCATCTACCCTTCCATCCATCCACTCATGCTACCCATTTACCCACATATTCATCCAGTTTCAAACCTACATATACATCTATCCGTGTATCCATCCATCCATCCATCCATCCAGGATTCATTTACCGAACAGTTATTGACTACTTACTGTCTCAGTGCTGGTCTGGGCACTGATGGTAAAATTGAACAAGATATAGTTCTGGTATTCAAGAAGTTCATAGTGCATTGAAGGATAATTCCATTGAAGCATTGAAGGCTCCTGCACTGAACGCATGTGAAGCCAGGCACGCTGTACCCCAGCTCTATCTGTGGTGCAGGGCGGGTCATGGGAGTAGAAGAGAGGCTTTGCTTGTGGAGCTGGTGCACAGGTGCGTGTGGTGGCAGGGTGTGTGCCTTCTTGTCTAGGCTGCCAGCTGCTAAATCACAGTTCATTCCTATGCAGGGCTCTAGATCTGCTCTTCATAATCTTAGCCTTTTTTGGGGGGAGGGAGTACTTGTTCTGAGGCTTGAACTCAGGGCTCTGAGGTTTTTTTGTTTGTTTGTTTTTTGCATAAGCTGGTGCTCCACCACTTGAGCCACAGTTGCACTTTTTTGGCTTATACTTTCCTGCCTGGGTTCACTTTGACCCCCAGTCCTCCTATCTCAGCCTCCCAGTAGCCAGGATTACAGGCATGAGCCACCGACACCCAGTGGCCTTAGCCTTTCTAAGTCCAGTGACACCACCTCTCAGGATGGGCTGGGAGGGGCTGTGGGCCGCAGGCAGCGCACCGTGCGGGGTGTGCAGCGGCCCTCAGAGCTCTGGTCACAGGCTCTCGGCAGGCTGGCTGACATTAGAGTAGCTCTTGTTTCTTCTCCTTCACTGCCTTGAAAGAAGCAGAGTCTCCCCAGGGGTCCCGTAGCACCATGGCTGCCTTCCTCTGGGGAAGAACTGGCTTCTTCAGTGGCCTTGAGCCTGTGTAACCCGTGTGGGGCGCCTGCCGTTGTGGGGAGGCCCTACAACTTCTTGGAAACTTGATCTTGAATCCCACTTCCCAGTCCCTCTTGGCTGCTCACGCAGGCGCCCTGGCAGTGAACAAATAGGTTGCAGTGTTGGCACTGGGGACTTGGCTCCGGCGTGAGCTGAGCAGGGAGAACGAGGGAGACTCCCCACGGCCGGGGCCTTGCGCGTCTTCTATCCCTCTTGTTGTAGCGTGTGGACTGTGGAAGATTTGACTTCTGTATTCGCTTATGCTGTCAGAATTCGCTGGCTGTCAGAATGCATTACTGTGAATCTGGTGGCTTCACATAACAGAAATGTGTCCTTTGGTGGAGGTCTGTGTTCCTCGGCTCCTTCTTCACTCGATCAAGCTCCTGGTGGCTTCCCAGGCCTCTGGGGTTGTCTCTCGATTGATCTAAGCCCCGCTCCATCTACACATTGACTTTCCCAGGGCCCTGCCATCTCCTCTTGCTTCCGACGGCTTCCCGTGGCCACCCCCAGGCTAGCTTCTCCTGTGGGCCCTGTGTTGGCACCAAGTGTTTGGGGCTCTGGAAGGACAGAAGGCTGGGCGAGGCCTGGAGGCTGCTGGAGCCTCCCTGACTCCCTTATGAGCATCTGAAAGGAAAAGGCTCATTATACGGGAGAATTCGTCCACTGAACCCACTCAGATGGGTTTATTTTTGTAAGGCAGTTTTACAATCTGCCTCCGTTGCTAAATTGAGTACAAGCAACATAATTTAACATACTCATAATTTCCTGAGTGGGATTTCACATTTCTGATGGTGCGTGACGTGGCTTGGGACAGCTGGCCACAGGCCACTCCCCCTTCCCCCCAAAGTCTATTTTATTGGGAAGTTCTGCTGGAAGTTGCTGGTGAGCACTCAGTACTTTAGTACTCCTTTAGAAGTGTGTACTTGTTGATAGTAGCTAGAATGTAAACCTACATGAAAATGTAGATTTCTAGTTTCCCTTAAGGGAGATTCGGCCATGTGGCCAAGTGGCCACGTGGGGGCTATGCTCCACAGCGCCCCCTTTGGTGGGCTGGCTGTAGTTACCCATGTGGGCAGGACTGGTTTGCCCTCCTTAGCCCAGTCCCTACCACTCACTCCCAGTGTTTCTCATGCCTGGTGGCTTCCCTCCCTCACACAAGACCTCCGTGCCTGGCAGCCTGGAGTGTGTGCACACGTTCTGGAGTTCAGTCCTGGCTCTGATTGTACCCCATACTTTAAAATCGATTTTACCCCATACTTTATTTCTGTGGTTGTAAACAAATTGAGGTGTAGGGCTTACATGTTCAGTTCTATCCAGATGGCAGGTGTTCAGCAGGCAACAGCTGCTCCCCTATAAAATGCCCAGAGGTGGGGTCCTGTGATCATCCAGCTTGCTGGTGAAGCGATTCCTTGATTTAGATCAAGTCATCTGTGCAGCTGAGTGACCCAGGAAGCCTAACAGGAACCATTTTATTTTATCAACTTGCTTTTCTGTGTGTGTGTGTGTGTGTGTGTGTGTGTGTATGTGTGAGTCCTGGGGCTTGAACTCAAGGCCTGAGCTCTGTCCTTGAGCTTTTGTGCTCAAGGCTAGTGCTCTGTCACTTGAGCCACAGTTCCAGTAGTTAATTGAGAGAAGAGTCTCATGGACTTCCTGCCCAGGCTGGCTTTGAACCCAAAATCCTCCTGAGTATTTAGAATTGCAGGCATGAGCCACTGGCACCCAGCTTGAACCAGCTTTTTAAAAGTTTTTATTTGGTGGTTATAGTGAAAACTAAACATGGGTATGGATGCTGGCGGGGTGGCTGGCGGAAGAAAGCCCTGACTTCCAGCCTCGTTCACCCACTCTGCTCTGATTGTCTTCAGGCTGCTGTGTGTTCTCTACTGGATTTCTTGGGGAGAGGCCTTGGATTATAATACACCCCTTTCCTGCCCAGATTTGGGGCCAACTGGGCAGCAGGGAGCTGGTGACCAACACAGTTCTGAAAACATGGGACATTCCAGTCTTCCTTGTAGCCTGCAGGCTCTCCAGCCCTGGCCCGCTGTGGCTCAGCCCTCTATCTTCCGGACTGCTTGGCCTGGCCCTGGTACACACACAGCCCTAGACCTGCGCCGCCATGGTCAGCTCTCTAGAGGGCGTATGCTGCTATTTATCTCTTCAGCTAGGTTGAGAATCAGGCTGCAATAGCATCTCTCAGGGCGAGGCAGCTTCATCTGTGTAATCGTGGGAGTGTGTGTGTGTGCGCGTGTGTGTGTGCATGTGCACAGGTGTGATTATGTGGCTGGGTATGAAACATGCCCCATACGCCTGTGCCTTTGGGTCTGTATACATGTGTGTGCATACACTTGTGGGTGGGTGTGACCTCGTGTGTTGCACAGTGTGTGTATATTATGTGCACACCCAGTGCAGTGCACACCTGGGTTGAGTGTGCATGTGTGTCTGCATGTTGCACACATGCTGTGCGAGGTGCTTTTGTGCTCCATGGGGCACGTCTCCCACGCTGCCTGCTCTCCCCACAGTCCGCGGCCGAGTGCAGCAGCCTGCTGCGGAGCCTGCACAGCCTGGAGCAGGAGCACCTGATGAGGTCACTGGCTCTGGACCAAGAGGAAGACTTTGCACAGGCGCACAGGCAGCTGGCTGTCTTCCAGAGAAACGAGCTACAGCGCATCTTCTTCACCCAGATAAAAAGTGCGGTTTTCAGAGGGGAACTGAAGCCAGAGGCGGCTGAAATCCTGCTGCAAGATTATTCTGCAATCCAGGTGAGGTCCGGTCAGGCTCTCCACGGTCTTCGGGGAATTCTCTCCCTCCAGTCACACTGTGGCTCACCTCTGTGGGGCAGCAGCGAGCTGACTCTCTCCCCCCTGATACAGGGGTGAGATTCCACAGGGGCGCAGGGGGTGGCCAGAGCCTAGGCTGTGGGCTTAGGTGGGCCTGGGTGATGCTAATGTCCTCCTTCATCCTGGGTCCTTGGGCAGATTGCCCGGTGTCCCCAGAGCCTCAGTCTCTTCTGACGTGAAAGGGCATGATGGCGTTCACCTCGTCATCTTAGACGTGTTCGTTGTGGTGTGGAGGTGAGCAGGGCTAATTCTGGGCTATTCTCTAAAAGGGAAAAAGGATTTTAAGTGTTTACAAAGATTTCTCGGAATCATAATTAAGGATACCTAATGTGTGTGTATAGGTGTATATGTATGTACGTATTGGTGGTCATGGGGCTTACACTGTCTGGGCACTGTCTCTGAGCACTTTTGCTCAAGGTTTGTGCCCTGCCACTTTGAGACACAGCTCCACTTCTGGTTTTTCTGGTCAGTAAGTGGAGCTAAGAGTCACAAAATTTCCAGCCCGAGCTGGCTTTGAACCGGCATCCTCAGATCTCAGCCTCCTGAATAGGTATGATTATAGGTGTGAGCTACCAGCTCCCGGCTAAAAAAATACATATTTTTTTGAATAGGAGAATGTAGAGGAGGTAATGGACTTCCTCCAGGCTACCAAGAGATACCATCTAAGCAAGAGGTTTGGCCACCGGGAATACCTGGTCCAGAGCCTGCAGTCCACAGAGACCCGAGTGCAAGGCCTCCTGAATGCTGCGGCTGCTCAGCTGACGCTCCTCATCCAGAGGCACGAGAGGTAACCAGGCTCCCTCCCCGGGAGGCGGAGCGGCCCTGCCTGCGTCACCACCACCGCTGCTGACCTCTGCGCGTGTGCATGCTGGGTGCTTTCCCTTATCGGTTTTTTGCTCAAGGTTGTCTCTCTACCACTGAGCCACTGCTCTTCTCTAGCTTTTTGGTGGTTAATTGGAGATAAGAGTCTCATGGATTCTCCTGCCTGGGCTGGCTTTAAACCTTGATCCTTAGATCCAGTAGCTGGGATTACAGGTGTGAGCATGGGTGCCTGCCTCAAACTTCATTCTTAAGATAAATTGTCTAGCTGTGGAGAAGCTCTGCAGTATGGATTTTGAAAGCATACACAGTAGCCAAGACAACTGTCGATGGTATGCAGCCAGAGTTACTTACGCATTACCATGACCAACATCCTGAAGAATACCTAAAGGGAGAAATGACTGACTTGGGTCAGAGGTTCAGACCATGGTGGAGGAGCAGAGCAGTTGAACTCATGACAGTCAGGAAGCAGAGAAGGGGAATCAGGAAGTGGCCAGGACAGGAGACCCCCAAGGCCACATCCCCAATGACCTGCTTCCTCCAATCAGGCCACACCTCCCGCCTTTCATTTCCTCCCATTAATGCCTCCATGTTGTGAAGCCGAAGCTATCAAGGGAGAAAGCATGGATCAGTTCAGAGCCCATAGGCTGTGACCACTCTGAAAACCACCCTCATGACACACCAGAGACGCGCTCTGCTCACCTCCCGGGTTCAGTCTGCAGGTCCTCAGCTGACTTCTGCGTCCCTGTGTGCCTATCCTAGATTGCTCCACGGCCAGGTCCCAGCCATGCTCTGTGGAAAAGTCCATGAAAGAGGCTCAGTGGACTGGCGCTGGGGGGGCATGGCCCTGCCACACGCTGGCTCTAGCATTGCCTTTGCCACTTAGTACAAATAACACAGGTGCTTGCCAGGCCTCTGGGTTTTTTCTCCGCAGTACTGGGGTACCGCAGGGCCAAGGGAGGCTCGGGTTCCTCCTCCGACCTTCTCTGAGCCAGCTTACTTACAGTCGATGAACAGGGTTCTCCTTAGGCTGCGAGCTCTACAGAGCACGGGTTGGACTATGGGGGGGGGCTGTATGAATCGGTTCTGTGCTAGAGGTCATTTTATGAGGACAGTTGCCTCTGGAAGGATTCTGTGAGGTGTAAATTATGCAGTCACCCCCGCCCCCCGCCAGCAAGCAAGCTGCTAATGAATTCAGCACTGCAGGTTGATTAGCCTGCCCGAAGCGAAGGGAACAGACACACAGGAAGGCTCCCTGCCCTGCAGACGCCTGTCTGCGGTGAGCAGTTGCCGGGAGAGGATTGGCTGTGCTCTTGTTTTAAAAATTCTGGTTTTAAAGGCTGGCCAGAACCTGTTTCTATTCCTTCTGGAAGCCTCCTGGCAGTCTGGGCTGGGGACATTGCCCAGGGATGGTGACAGAGCAGGGGCTTGTGGTGATGGCAGCCGAGGGGACTCGGCACCCGGGTAAGAGTCAGGACTCTGGGAAAGCAGAACCAACAGTGCCGGCATGTGGAGACTCAAGAGAAACCAGCAACGATGTGATCACAGAGGCTGGAAGTCCCAGCGTCTGCACTCCATGAGCTGGAATTATGCCATTGGGAAAACCCGGTGGTACAGAGCAGCCCAAGTCAGAAGCTCCCCTGGGAAGCCAGGGACCCCTGATGCCAATCCCAGTCCAGGGCAGGGGCCCATGGGAGAGGCCAGAAGCAAGGGCCCAGCTCCTCTTCCCTCTGCCTTTCTGTTCTACTTGGGATCCTAGCGAGCTGGCTGCCTGTGTTCCTGGGCTACCTTGGGCATTTGCAGTTGCTGAGACACAGCACCACAGCCTGGCTAAATGATAAACTAGGGATGGTTACTTGGCTCGTGGTTTGAGCGTGAGAGGCTGTGTCTGTTGAGAGCCGTTTGCCACATCAGAGCACATCCGGAGGCATCGATTCACTTCCGGAGGCATCGAATCACTTGACAGAGTGGGAAAGAGAGGCCCACGCCCCTCCAGGGCCACGCACCCCTCTAAGCCCCATGCTCTGACAGCAGTGTGAATCACCTCTTGAATTTGGTGTGCCAGTCTTACTGGAAGTTCCGTGTCAGCGTGAGTTCCTCAGATACCTGCCGACCCAGCAGGAGAACATCTGTGTACGTTCCCTCGTTGTTGGGGTCTGTCCTGTGTCAAGGACGCCCTGGAACTGTCACAGGCCATTCCCAGGTCCGCTCCTCCTGGCACCAGCTCCTGAGCCCGCACCTCCTCTCGGAAAGTTCTCTGCTCCCTGTCCCTTTCCGTGTCACGTTCTCTCAGCACTCTTGTCCTGACACATCTGTCCCGGGCTGAGCTTTCTCCGTCCATCTCCGTAGACAGCCACTCACTTGCTGCTATTCCAGTTATGTCTGAGTTGCTCCTCCTCCTCCTGAAGAGGAAGCGATTTCAGATTCACACTGAACGAATATGGAGATACTCAGCATGGCCACCGGCACCTGGAAGGTGGGTGGAGCCTGTGGTCACTCGCTTTGTGTCTTTCCCTGTAGGGCGGGATACTTGGATGACGATCAGATGGAGCTGCTGCTGGAACGGGCCCAGACAGAAGTCTTTTCTATAAAGCAGAAATTGGAGAATGACTTGAAGCAGGAAAAGAAAAAGCTCCGCCAAAAGCTAATAATTAAGAGAAGGCGAGAGCTGTTGCAGAAGGTACGGAGGCCGCTGTGCTGGTGACCCCTTCGGTGGCCCTGGCCATGTGTGCGCCGAGCGGCCGCCATTGCTGTCAGCACATGAGGACACTCGGGCAGGCATCGCCAGGGACGTCTGTGGCTGACGGCTAGAGACTTCGTGGGAAGCTGTGGGCTCCTCTGCCTCCACGCGGTAGAGGGTCGCGGTTCCTGTCAGCTTGGGCAAAGGAGAGGAGTCTGGTCCCAGTGACTAAGGACGATGCTGGCGCTTACTGAGTGCTTACTAGCACTGCGCGCAGTATATGCATTAGCTGCTTTGAGCTGTTTCACTGGCCCTCTGTGGAGATTATATCATTTGTTCCTTTTGGATTTAAAAGTGACTGCACTAAAGCACAGAGAGCTGAAGAATACAGTGAAAGCTGGGCTCTGGTGGCCACGCCTGTAGTTGTAGCTACTTAGGAGACTGAGATCTGAAGATCACAGTTTAAAGCTAGCCCAGGCAGGAAAATCTGTGAGACTTTTATCTCCAAATAACAACCCCAAATCACCTCCGCCCCCCACAAAAAAAGCAGAAATGGAGTGCTGGTTCAAGTGGGAGAGTGCTAGCCCTGAGTGAAAAAGCTAAGGGACAGCATGTCAGCTCTTGAACTCAAGGCCCAGAACTAGAACACACACACACACACACACACACACACACACACACACACAGCGGTCAAAGGCAATCTCTGGTATGCGGTAAGCTGCATCCTCCTCTACACCCCTCCGCTGTCTGTCAGCCTTGACCGAGACGTGGTCACCTGGCATCAGGCAGAGTTCACTCTTGGGGCTTGGAGGAGGCCCAGGAAGCCTTAGCAGAGCATCTGCAGCCTAAGCGAGCCCCGAGGACAAAGGCCAAGGGTGCGTTTGACGCCGTCCGAGGCAATGTGCACACCACGGAACGCCGTGAGGCGGTGGTGTCTTGTTCAGGTTGAGCGCTCGGCCCGAGAGTGCTGTGTGGCTGGGAGCCGCGGGAAACCTTGAGGCCGGAGCGTACAGGGGCTGGGCAGAGCTGGAGGGGATCTGCCTGGACCAGCCCGCGCCAGGGCACGCGGCATGCCAGGCTGAGTCCCCTTCCCTCTGTGGCTGCTGTGGGGGAAAGAGACACCAGGGCTGCGATTGGGAGCTGCCGATCCTTCTGTGTCCCCTGGAATGAGTCTCCCAGCGTCTTCCGCGGGGCTGAGCCTGCTGAGCCCCGACGGACTGACTAATGCCCTCTCAACCCCCTGCAGTACAAGGAGCAGCGCAAGGAGCAGATGGGCCTGGGCGTGGCCTCCCGAGCCCCGGAGGACCCCGGCCAGTACCTGCGCAGGTGGAGGGGCGTGATGGCGGAGCAGAGCGCCGCCCTGGAGGAGCTGCAGGAGCACCTGGACCGCGCGGCCCTCGATGAGCTCCAGGCCCTCACCCTGTCGCTGTCCGACAAGGCCACGGAGGAGCTGCGGCGTCTGCAGAGCTCCGCCATGACGCAGGAGCTGCTCAAGCGCAGCGTGCCCTGGCTCTTCCTGCAGCAGATCCTGGAGGAGCACGGGCGGGAGGCGGAGGCCCGGGCCTCGCAGCTGGAGGCCGAGGAGAGGGAGCGAGGCCAGGAGGGCATGAAGGGCGTGAAGCAGAGGCTGCAGCACGACACGCCGGAGGCCTCCACGCAGGAGCAGGCCGAGCTGCGGCGCTGGGGGCACTTGGTCTTCACGTGAGTGGCCCACCCTCTGCCGAGGAGGGAGGCCGGGAGAGGGGCACAGCCGGGCGCGGATGGGTCCACGCGTGGCTTAGTTACACGCGCCCAGAGCCAACAGGCCTCCCAGTCACCACAGGGCCGTGCGAGGAGGCGTCGCAGCGACCCGGGCAGGCGGCTGGTGAGGAACTGTGGGCACTGCCACTGGCTTGTCTGAAAAACACTGAGCTCTCGGGGACTCGAACCTGCTGCTCAGGGTTGAGCCGGGGATACGCCTGGCCCCTCTGAACCCTGAGCAGTGGGGAGGGGACCTGCGAGGAGAATGTTCCAGGCCCTCCTGACATCACTGATGTCCAGGCATGAGATGGAGAGGGCACAGCCCACGGGCCTCGTGCGCCTCTCCATGCTTGGCGCCATCACTCTAGTCACCCTGGCTCTAGTCACGGTCCCATCCTGAACCGTGTGACCACATACTGCTGGCTGTACCCCTGCGACACTGACCAGAAACTAACAGACAGGCGGCAGCGTGTGTGTGTGTGTGCACGCGTGTCTGTGCATGTGTGTATGTGTGTATGTGCGTGCGTGTGTATGCGCATGTGTGTGCGTGCATGAGTGTGTGTGCGTGTGCATGCGTGTGCATGTGTGTGCGTGCACGCACATGTGTGCATGTGTGTATGTGTGCGTGTGTATGTGCATGTGTGAGTGCATGTATGTGTGTGTATGTGTGCATGTGTGTATGTGAGTGTGTGTATGTGTGTGTATGTTTGCACGCACATGTGTGCGTGTGTGTGTGTGCGTGTGTGAGGGTGTGTATGTGAGTGTGTATGTGTGCGTGTGTGTATGTGTGTGCACGCACATGTGGGCATGTGTGTATGTGTGTGCATGTGTGTGAGTGTGTATGTGAGTGTGTGTGTGTGTGTGTGTGTATACTGGGGCTTGAATTTAGAGGCCTCACACTTGCTTCTGGGCTCACAGATGGCACTTTACCACATGAGCCATGCCTCTAGCCCTCCAGTTAATTGGATATGGAGTCATGCAGACTTTTCTGCTTGGGCTGGCCTGGAACCTCATGCCTCCAAACCTCAGCCTCTCGACAAACTGGGATTGCAGGGGTAAGCCACAGTGCTTGGCTTGCACAGGTGTTTTGTGTGTGTGTGGGGGGGGGGGAGGTCATGGGACTTGAACTCTGGGCCTGGGCACTGTCTCTCAGCTCTTCAGCTCAAGGCGCTAGTGCTCTACCATTTGAGCCACAGCCACAGTCTTCTGGTGGTTAATTGGAGGTAAGAGTCTCACGGACTTTCCTGCCCAGGCTGGCTTTGAACCACCATCCTCAGATCTGAGCCTCCTGAGTAGCCAGGATGACAGGTATGAGCCACGGGCACCTGGTGCACAGGATGTTTTTAAAAGGTGCCAGGGCACACCAGAGGCCACGGCGGTGGGGCTGTTCTGAGGGGTGCCTGCCACTTTCCCAGGTACCTGCCAGTTCTTCAGGGCCTGCTTCAGAGTGGCCTGGCCCAGGAGAGGAGGCTTTAGTGACCCAACAGAGATCCACAAGGCTTGCACTGCTTGACCGAGGCAGTACATGAGCTCAGAAACTAGCCAGTGCCGAATGAGACACAGGCAACATAGACCAAAAGGCCCGGGTGTAAGTTCTAGTGTTGCCTGCTGTGTTGAGGGTAGGGAAGTTGCTTAACCATTCTGGGCTTCACCTGAAGGATCAAAACACGAAGAAAAAGTTCGTGTGTGTGTGTGTGTGTGTGTGTGTGTGTGTGTCTTCAGTTTGCTGGGTGGTGCCTTCCTCAGGGAAGTTACGCAGGTTGTGGTCAGCTTGCTGGTTCAGTGCCCCTTCCCTGGGTCCTGGGAAGCAGGTCAGCGGATACTGGGTGTGTCCACAGAGTGGCCTCATCTTGATTTGCGTTGAGTGGCCTCCTGCTCCGTCCCTTCTTTCTCTTTTGTGAGCCTGGCTTCATTTATTTCCCCTGTCTTTGTGACCAGGGAAACAAAGCAGTTCTCCCTGAACCAGTGAAAATCCGATCCTAACTGCCCCTTCCACCGCTAGTTCGCCTTGGCTGAGCCCAGTCTGCGTCCAGCCCTGCCGCACCCCTCCGGCAGTGGCTGCCGGCTCTTCCCAGCGTTTAGCTACGGCCTGGTGGCGTTTCTTACTGTGACATCATTTTCTTCGCCATCATTGGCTCCATTTTGCGGCTGCATCTCTAAAGCCACTGCTGAGTGAACCATCCAGCAGGAAACAAGGGGCCTCTCCTGGCTAGCAGAAAACTATAATTTTGAGCTACGGTCTCTCTTCCTGCCCAGCACATGCCAGCACTGTGATGCTCTTATTCTCTGCCCTCCATACCCGGTTCCTGCTCACAGGATGTTATTTATCAGGCTTTGCTGGACAGGGCTTTGTTGTCGTGTGTGTTTTTCTAAGACTGTGATGCTAGGTTAGAGTCGAGATCAGGAGGGCGGGCAGCCTCTCTCCAGAAGGGTACACACAGGCCCTGAGATCTCAGCTCCAAGGTGGGCTTGTGCCCAGGGTGGCAGACATTAGGTGTTCAAGAAACGCTTGTGGACGAAGTGCCCGGATGAGGAGCTGTCGCTTCTGCACAGACTTAGAAGGCCAGCCTGCCCACGCCGGCCCAGCCCACCGCGGCGCTTTCTCTCGCTCCCCCGGCAGGAAGCTGCGCGGCGCGGCCTTCGCCGTGTCTGAGGAGGAGCTGTTCAGGCTGCGGCAGGAGGCCCACAGCAGCTTCGCCCAGATGGATCGTAGCCTGGCACTGCCCAAAATCCGGGCTCGAGTGCTGCAGCAGCGATTCCAGACAGCCTGGCGAGAAGCAGAGTTCCTGAAACTGGACCAGGCCCTGTCTGCCCCCGAGCTGCAGGTAGAAGGGACACACGGGGGCCAGGCTGCCCCCACCCCACCTGCTGACCCCGTGGGGCACCGTGCATCCACCAGCTCGGGGCTCCCCCCCCCCCAGCCATGCTGGCGTCTGGGTGTCCTGCAAACCTCCCGCAGTGGCTGTCAGCAGTGTGAACACAGCTGCGCCACCCCAGCTCACAACCACGCTCCGCTCTTTCCCCAAGCACGGGGGAGACGGTGCCCAAGACGGCGCCCGCCCCTGCCCACTGGCGCAGGCGCGGCCAGTGACCCGTTCAGGGCATACCAGGCCCCCTGTGATGCAGAGAGGAAGGGTCTCGTCTCAGCTGACGTGGGTGCGAAGCGCGGGGTCTCACACAGAGTCTCCGGGGCTCTGAGTGACAGCTGCCTAACTGAGCACCTGCTGTGTGCCTCCGGGCAGAGTGCAGTTTGTCCCCAGCCAGCCCCACGCAGCTGCCCTGGCTGAGGCCACCGCCTCGCGCCCTGTCCCGGCCCTTGCTCCCCTCAGGCTGCCCAAAGAGCCCTTCAGAGTGCTGAGCATCCCAGCCGCCATCTCAGATGTCACCGGGGAAGCTGACTGCAGACTTTTGAACTTTCCTCTTCCCACCACACACTGTGCTTGGAACTTTCCCCTTCCCTGTGACATGCTTGCTAGTCTGGTCTCGGCTCCACCTTGGGTGCTCTTCTAAGCCCACGTCCAGCATTCTTTGTTGAGAGGCCTCGAAGCTGAGCTTGTGCAAGGGAAACAGACATTTTCTACCCTCTTGGCTGGAGGCAGTTTTGCTGTCTGAGATGCGCGCACTTCCTTGGGGGTGGGGAGACCCCGGGCGGTGTGGATGGCTCGTGACTGTCTTCACACACACAGCTTGTCCTCTGACCTCTCTACCCACAGTCCAAGGCCAGAAAGCCACGGTCTAAGAACAAAAGCAAGGCAGACCTTCTGAAGAAATGCATCGAAGACAAGATCCGCCTCTTTGAGGAGCAGGGCCCTGAAGACCTGGGAGAGAAGGTGAGTGCTGTGTGTCCAATGCCTCAGCCGACTGCCAGCCACTGGCTCCAGGGCTGGGCTCCGTCTCCACCCTTGCGCTGCTCCCAGAAACTCCCCCTCCTCCCTGTGCCCCTGCCCCTCCCCAAGCCTGCCTCCACCCCTCAGGCTCTGCTTCACCCCCCGCACTGCCTCTGTGGGCCATGGCGGCTGCCAGGTGCATGCCTGATTCTGTCTCAGGCATCTGCATCTGTCCTCTCCCGTCCAGCAACCTTTCTGTCTTGCACATCCTGTACCTCCCTTCCTTCCCTCCCTCCTTCCCTCCCTTCCTTCCCTCCCTCCTTCCTGTTTCCTCCCTTCCTTCTCTCCCTCCCTCTTTATTTTCCTTCCTTCCTCCCTCCCTCCCTCCCCTCCTTCCTTCCTGTTTCCTTCCTTCCTTTTCTTTTCATGCTAATGCTGAGGCTTTGAACTCAGTGTTTCTCCCTTAGCTTTTTTACTCAAGGTTGGTGATCTACCACTTGAGCCACAGCTCCCCTGCTCTTTTTTTCCCCCCTCTTAACAGGAGATAAGCTCTCACAGACTTTTCTGCCTAGGCTGGCTTTGATCTGAGATCCTCATTTCTCAGCCTCCTGGTCAGTCAGGATTACAGGTGTGAGCCGCCAGCCGCTGGTCCGTCAGGAGGGCAGGTGTGAGCCGCCAGGCGCTGCTTCTCATCCCCATTTCATGCTTGGTGTTGTGTTGGGGCTTCACATGCCCCTCGGGGCTCCGTCCTGTGTCCCTCTCTCTTCCTGGAGTTTACCGTCTTATTGTGACTGGGATAAGCAGCTGCTGACCTTCGGCTGCCTTTGAGTGTTGGCTTTGACCTCCAGTGTCCTCTCTTCCAAGAAGCCATCCCTAAAGACGTCCGAGGCCTGACCCAGACTCATGCTCCTCGCAGCTCAGCTCCTGAGTGCTGGGATTGCAGGCATGCGCCACCGTGCCCCGCGCTCTCTCTGTGCAGACCCCTGCTGTATGAACTTAGGACACAGCTTTTTGTTGGTGAGCCCAGTGAGCCTGAGGAATGTTCTGGGCTCCTCCTCCCTGTGTTGCAGTGAGCTGGTTGTGGGCTCACGGGATCTTCCTTCTCTCGAGCGTCCCAGTTCCCTGCTGCCTGTCTTCCATGTCTGAAATCACTGGACTCTGTTTTAGCTGGGGTGGGAGCTGCCGGCACAGGAGACACCGTCTTTGTCTTTCTTTCTCCATTGTGACCTGGAATGGAAACTTCCAACCTATCCTTTTGTCATAGGTCTCCTCAGTGGGAGAAAAAAGTAATTGTGGCCATTTTTGGACTTGGTGGAGACTTTCTATGTAGTTTTAACAAGCTCCTCGCCCGTCTTCAGAAAAGCCAACTCTTTTCTGATTGGCTTACCAGGAGCCTGGAGGCTGCCTCAAGGAACTCTGGGAAAGTGGGCGGGACTGAGACCCGTGGACAACCCCAGGGGCTCTGGTCCTTTAGGACCGGTCGGGCCCTCTGCTGGGCACTGTAGCTCATCTTCTCTATCTGGCTCTGGTGTCTTATTTGAGCTCTGTTCCTTCTGCTCATTTCTGGGAAGTGAAGGTCAGGCCCCTGTTGGCGCCGGTTCACAAGGAGCAGTCCGTCGGGTCCCTCCCAGGACACAGTCTGTTCCAGGGCAGTGCCCAACTGGCAGTCCATTGCTTCAGTGTCTGGGCCCATCAGTCACAAGGCAGACATGCTGTGACTCCTGTTCTTCATGTTGGGAAGTGAATCTGTCTATTATTTACCACCCATCTGGTTATCTATCTATGTATCTGCCACCCATCTAGCTATCAATCATCTATCATCTTATCAATCATCATCTATCATCGATCTACCTTTCTTCATCTTTTGCTGCTCTTAGCACTGACACTTTTGAAGATTCCCCACCTCGCTTCGCGCAGCCCTCATTGCTGTTCGCGGCAGGACAGCCCTGCTTAGGATGTGTAGCCTGAAGCGATTTGCCCCCCTGGATGAAGAGACCATTTCGGTTGTTGTCAGCACCTGAATATTTCACACAGGCTGGAACCTCTGTGTAGACCCCGCTGTCCGTGTTGAGGTGGATGGGGCAGCTCATGATTGTCCCTGGGTCCCAGGTGACGGGAGGGAGGCTCAGCAGTGTGGCCAGGCTGGTGCTAGCCAGGTCTATGTAAGCCGCAGGGCCAAGCCTGTGCCCTGTGGCTGTCTGTTTGATGGGCCCGTCTTCTGGCGCTTGTCCTACTGTGGTGGCAGCCGACACACAAACTCCTCGTCAGTATTCTCCAGGAGTCCGGGACGATGGGTGAACAGGACAGGGTCACGTGTGCCACTAGCAGCCATTGTTTCTGGTCTCGTTTGAGTGATCTTGCTCGGTCCGGATAGCACGCCTCTCCCCATCTCCACTCCCCAGCCACTGTTCATTCTTGGCTGCCAGCTTTCCTGTGGTGCGGGCCTGCAGAGTTCACGAGCCACCCCGCCGCCTGCGTGGGAGGATCACTGGTTCCGGCTGTGCGCTGTCAGCCGTGCGCCCCGCGGTGCTCCCGCAGCCGCCGCCATGATGAGCTCGGTGGCTGGTACTGGTTGGGGCTGCTGGCAGGCTGCTCTGACTCACTGGAGCATGAGAGGAAGTGCGCATGTTTAGGTGGCCTAGCCTTGCAACAAAGCTGGAAGAGAAGGCAGATGGGAAGCCCCTTGCGGGCAGGGGAGAGCCTCCTGCTGCTTCTCCTCAAGCCTGCCGTACCTCTAGCTTATCTCCTGGGGCAGCCTCTGCCTGTTCGTCTCCCTCAACAATACCCAGAATTCCTTTATTTGCTTTTGTCCCGGGGATGAAACCCAGGACCTTGCTGATGCTCGGCAGGAGCTCTAACCACTGAGCCACATCCCCAGCAGATCCTCGGCTTCTCATCCTAATCCCTACATCCACCTTCCAACCGCAGATGATTACCTGGGTTTCTTTGGATGGTTTGAGTTCTTTTCTATATTTGAATTTTTTTCCCTATATCATCTATTTAAGAAGTGTGACTTTTCATCTTTATAAGTCCCTTCCTCTCCTTCCCTCCCCTTCCCCCCTTCCCTTCCCTTCATCTCCCCTCCCTTCCCTCCCTCTCCCTCCCTCTCCCCTCTCCCTCCCTCTCTCCCTCTCTTTCTCTCTTCTTTCTTTCTCTCTCTCTCTTTTTCTTTCTTTCTTTCTTTCTCTCTTTCTTTTTCTTTCTTTCTTTCTTTGGCTTGAACTCAGGACCTAGATGCTGTCCTTGAGATTCTTTGTGCTCAAGACTAGTGCTCTACCACTTGAGCCACATTGCCACTTCTGGTTTGGGAATGGTTCGTTGGAGATAAGAGTCTCACAAGGACTTTTCTGCCTGGTCTGGCTTCGAACTGTGATCCTCAGCTCTCAGCCTTCTGAGTAGCTAGGATGACAGCCCTGAGCCACTGGTGCCCGGCAGCTTTCTCATTTGTCTTTAGTTTCTTTCAGGGTTCATGTTCTTTATATTTACCAATGTCATTCCACTTCTTGACAGTTGACTAGAAATTCTAGCAAGACCATGGCCCTCTCTTTGAAGCTATCTGTGCCTCTGGCATGTTCCCACTGGCCATCGCTGCCTGTACCTCAACAGCCACCATCGAGCCGCGCTGCCGGTTCTCTTCCTCCCCTCTCTGTGGATTTGTTCTTTGGTTTTTTTTTTTTTTTAAAAAACATATCTTCTGTGTCATGGGAAGGGACACTTGGAAGAAGTAATACTTTGAACTTTTGTTAAGATTGAAATGTATTTATTCTGCCTTCAGACTTGACAGATCATCTGACAGACTAGGAAATTTTCTGGTTTTTGGTGAAAAATTCCTCCTCTTTAATCTCTCTTTCTAGAAAGGCAGTTGCTTAGGTGTTGATATCTGTTTCTTTACTGTTTTCCTCTTCCATCATTTTGCTTTACTTATGAGAGACAGCCTACATTTTAGCTCATATTTCATTCATGTTTTTATTTTTTAGCTAAATTTTTGTTTGTTTTCTTTTTTTTCTTCGGTCGGTTGTGGGGCTTGAACTCTGGGCGTGGGCGCTGTCCCTCAGCTCTTCAGCACAAGGCTAGTGCTCTACCACTTGAGCCACAGCGCCACCTCTGGTTTTCTGTTGGTTTTTTTTTTTTTTTTTGGGTCCGGTCATGGGGCCTGAACCCTGGGCCGGGGCGCTGTCCTCAGCTCTTCAGCTCAAGGCTAGCGCTCTACCACTTGAGCGCCACTTCCGGCTTTTTTCTTTTTGCTTATGTGGTGCTGAGGAATCGAACCCAGGGCCTCATGCATGCAAGGCAATCGCTCTACCACTGAGCTACCTTCCTAGCCCCTTTCTGGTGGTTTTTGTTGGTGATAAGAAATCTCATTGACTTTCCTGCCCAGGCTGGCTTTGAACCACGATCCTCAGATCTCGGCCTCCTGGGTAGCTGGGATGACAGGTGTGAGCACCGGCGCCCGGCTTGTTACTACTTTTGTTTCCCATCTCGCTCCCTCATTTCTTTCAGCCTTAAAGAAAACAGATGCTTCTTTTTAGTCTGTCTTTTCATTAGCAATTGCCCGCATTAATGTTTGTGCACAGCATGCATATGTTACATGATCACAAAGCAACCATTTAAAAAGGCAGGAGAAAAAAACTCAATATTGCAACCCAGTATTATGTTTTAATTATTATCTCAAGTAGCTGTACCGTGGCGGAGCCATTAAACAAAGCGGTTTATGAATACAATGCTTCCTGGTCACCCTTCAGCACTGCCCCTTTGACCTGCTCCTTCCCTTACTTTTCTTCGTTTTATGGCATGTAACTGCACTCTCCCCCACTCCCCCTGCTCATTCGTTTACTCCTCTCCCCTACGTCCCCCTCCCCCCCCCCCCCCCCCCCCCCCCCCCCCCCCCCCCCCCCCGCCTTGCATGTACTCATTTCCTGGTGCTGATCTTGTTGGGCTTTGAAAAAGTCTTTTAAAAATATCACACTGTTTGAATTCTATTTTACTTCAGTTAATTCACGTGT